GGATAGATGTGGATTCTTATGTTTGAGAGAGAGAGAAGTATATTTCTGTCTATGGTCAGATTTTATTCTGTCAAACACAATACCCTGGACTGTGTGTATAACACATTCAAGGTATCTGGATCAGGTGGAATATCTGAAATATTTTGATAACTGCATGGATTAGTGAATCATTTTGTGATGCCTTAATGTTTGTCTGATCTATCTTTTTACAATACATACAGAGAGGGGGAGAAGAGGAGGAGGGGGCGAGGGACACGCACTGGCTTATGTGATTGCATAATTCACGCATATTCTCAAGTGGTGTGTTACTGAACCACAGGGGAACAGCTGCTGTGCCTCCTCCCTCTCTCTGCGTGTATGCATGTGTGTGTGTGTTTGTGCATGTGTGTATTCACACACACAGAAGCCTTGATTAAAATGAGAATTATATCTGTTTAAAGAAAAAATCAAATTGTGTGCCAAAGCTTTGCAAATTCATTTCTAGTAAAAGCTATTTTTCTTCTTGCAATTAAGATTAGTTATTATGCTAATATTAACATCCTCACAACCAATATAAGTGGGACTTCAGTCATACTCACACTTCCACAATGTTGTTCATTGTTATAATTCATGTATGCATCATACATCATCTTCCAAACTCAAATAAATGGAAAACTTTTACAGAATTGAAATGCCAAGTATGAGTCTGCACTTCCTAATATGTGTCAAATGAATACATTTTCCCATTCCGGCTGTCTTATATCTGTAGCTCTGGGTCCCTTATCTCTGTCCATTTTCCCCCATCTGTCTTTCCAAACGCCTCTTTCTGCCTTCCCCCTACCCTTCTGGCCCCCTCCCCCTCCCCACCCCCTTCCCTTGCGCTATCCTGCTTCCCCTGCGCAGGTGCTGTCTCCGCTTTCGGTTCTGCCCTTCTCTTGTGCCTCTTCCTCTTCCCCGCTAGGCCCTTCTGCTTCTTGGCCTGCCCTTTTTATGATCTCAGCATTTCGCCCAATGCAGGCCAGGGATTCTAACCGTGGCCCCAACCTTCTCTGCTACTAGGGCAGTGCAACAATCATTATCAAGAGCTGCAACTCCATTACTGAATCCCTTTGTGCGTAAGAAGGCAGGCAAATGCATCGCAAACTTTATAGGTGGCTAGCAGTTATGCAGCAGAACCAGCCCAGTGTTCTGCACCCACATATTGCTGATGTCACAGCATCTTTTGAGCATCCTGACTTGGATTTCCAGTTCAAAATGTAGGGGATACCACAGCCCTGTGGTAGCTGTCCTGTGGAGTAAAGGGCAGTCTTTTGTCAGGGCTCTGGAAAATAGAGAGGATTGGGGTGCCGTGCATCCCATTCCGCTAAGGTGGTGCGGGGAGGCCAGATCCGAGCAAGGAGAGTCCACATTAAGTAGAAGAGTCAAGCAGAGGAAGGCAAGGTCGTGTTAGGGAACCAGCGTCTGGTCAAAGCAGGTACAGTTGGTTAAATCATGGCAGAAGCCCTCTTGTGCAGAGGGCTGGTGAAGCAGAACCATGGATAGCGCAGGGCAAGCACCGCGCCGCGGCCTCAGCCTCTGAGGGGACATCGTTCTGAGCAGCCTGAAGCCAACTGAAGCCTTAAGTGGGCAGCCTCTGCTCTGAACTGTGATCAGCTCCAGCCTCTTTGGAGGATGTGGCTGGACCATTAAAGGGCCCTTGCCTGATTTAGTCGCTTTTCTGTGGGGCTGGGGAAACAGAGGTTCTGCCAGAGGGTTGTCCTCTGACTCAAGGGATGATAGTGAGGACATGCATTTTGGGCAGGGGGGGTGGCTGAATGCAGGGCCAACTGTCTCCCCATTGGAAGAGCCTCAGAGTCTTTTCTGCGCATCCTGAAAAGACCCAGGGCGGGGTCTGGACACCGTGCCGCCTGCTCTAGCAATGCCTCTGAGGAACTGTGGTGTTCAGTGGACCCTGAGATGCAAGTGACTGCCCCGGAATTAGGAGAAGACAGTCTTATTTATATTGGTGCCTGCTGGCCATCCGACCAGCCTCTTCTTCCTTGTTTGCCTTCAATTAAAGTCCAGATCTTAATTTCAGCCAGGAATTCTTGCGAATTCAGAGTCCAGTCCTTGCATATGGTCTCATTGCTCTCTTCCACTGCTTATTCGGAGTAAGCCTGTCCACATGAAATTGCTTAAATCTGCCTTTGTGCCTCTATAAGGAGTGGTGTTTTCATATAAGGGACTTTGAAAATGTAAGATATCTGGCAACCCAATTTGTCTACATATGTGTCTGGAAAATGTTTATGCCTCTGTAACATTAATAATGCATCTAGCACTTTTATGACACACAATAATTTACAGTGCTCGTTAATCTGCATGAGAGCACTGTGAGGGGTAGCTGATTAATTCTCCCCACTTTTTTCCCTTCAAGCTGAGCATGTGAGGCTGGGAAAAGAGGGCAGGCACATGAACAATTCTGTTATGCTGAAAAACATGGTGTGTGTGTGCGCGTACACATATAGCCACCAAAATTGTGTGTGTGTGTGTGGTTATAAAAAGCAGTTTGGCCACTTGCAAAATGGCTTGATTTGTGGGCACCAAAGCACACCTGCATCTTCATGTCAGCCTGTTTGTGGGTGTGTGTACACCTGCGTGCCACAAAAGCAAGGAGATGGAAAGGATTTATACAGTTTTGAAGCCCCCCTCCCCCGCCCCCCCGCAACAGAAGGCCCTGGAGATCCATGTTTCCGTTTTGCTGCCTTTCCAGAAAGGACACATCGAGGCCTTTTCTCTTGGCGGCGGAGTGCAGTTTATCTTTAAGGAGGCTCGAGAAATAAGACATGAAGCTCACGTTGCACGGGTGACATCACTAGCTTTGGCTCGGCGTTCTGTATTCTCTGGCGGGCGGGCTTCAGCCGAAGCTGCGGGGTGGCGTGTTGGAAGATTCTCAGGTGGGCAGCGATGACTCCGATTCGGGGTTATTGAGACGGGGAATTAAAACGCCAGGACAGCGGCCGCACACGTCCAGGGCCAATGCGCTCGGACGCGCGCTCGCCTGCACGCGTGCTCGCCACAGATCGCCTTCCGCCCTCGGCTGCTATAGGGGGTGAGTTATTTCCACCGGAGGAGAAAAGGGGGGTGCCCGAGCCAGCCCGATGTCTGGAGAGCCTGGACGCCCGCCGGCTACGGCGGGACCGCGTCGCCTAGGAAGCTGCGAAGGCGAGGCCGCCCTCTGAATGGCGATCAGGCCGCGCGGGCCGGCGAAGGGTGCAGCTCCTGAGCTGTTCTCGCAGGGAGGAAGACTCCTGCCCGCCCGCCCCTCCCTCCTCCCGCCCGCGGGGGCTTGAACGGCGGGGCTCCCCTTGCCCCCCCCCCTCGCCACTCACCCGCGCTCTCGTCCGACGTAGCCTTGCTGTTGCAGCGTGGAAGGGGGCGAAGAGGAGATATATATTTCTACAGCGTGCCGGGGTGGGGGAGATCTTGCTCAGCAAGAGAGCGGGAAGCCCGGTGCTGAGACAGAAGCAAAAAGGGGGCGGCGGCGTGTGTGAGCCGGAGGACGGCGTTGCCCTCGCAGGGGGAGGAAGACGAGGGGGAGGAAGAGCGCCCGAAGCAGCACAGCGCCCCCGCGGTCCCCAGGGGGGCGGCGCTGGGTCTCCGAGAGGAAGCTGGCGCCGGCCGCCCGGCTGAAGCGCGGCGCTCTCGCAGCCCCACGGCGGCCGGGCGCCGGGCGCGCTCCCCCTCCGGCCGCCCGCAGCCCGCTCTTCCCCGGCGCAGGCGAGGGCGAGTCTGCCGGCGCGCTGCGGC